AAGTAGCTTTCAGTGTTTGTTTTGCAGTGAGCTGTTGTAGAGAGGCAGTGCAAACTCTCACCATCGAGAGTAGCACCTCTGAGCTCCTTCCCTGGGAACTGCACTTAACATCAAGCCACCATAGCTTTGAGCACCTTGCTTTACCTTGATTTATTTTGTGCATCTGTTAGCAAGATGTGTGCTAATTGCTTTTTTGCTTTATGCCATTTTTGGCTTACAAAAGATTTTCACAAGAATGCTCTACTTTCGGATAGTGGAGGAGACCTGTATATGGTTGAGTCTTGCTTTTTCATACAAGTTAACAACCTTTGTCTTTTAACTGGAGTCCATTTACACTTAATATAATTACAAATATGGTTGGATTTAAATATGGCATCTTGCTATTTGTTTTTTTAATTGTTCCATCTTTAGATCTTTAGTTTCTCCTTCCTTTCCTGACTTCTTTTGGGTAATTAGAATACTTTTAGCTGTGCTTCTTTGTGCTACTTCAAATAAAATACCACTTATCCATATAATTTCATTATGCAAATAATACCTTAGTTAAACTTGTATTCAGTTTAGGGTATGCCAAAAGAGACTTAATAGAGGGTACATAATGAGAGTGGGGCTCTCTGGTGGCAGAAACAAACATTCCTACCAAAACTCTTTTGGAAGCTGACCCTACATTTCTTTTCCATCACAGAATGGAACCATGACCCAGTAAATGTTAAGCTAACACAATAGTCATGGAGAAGGCAATGGCTCCCCACTCTAGTACTCTTGCCTGGAAAATCCCATGGACGGAAGAACCTGGTGGGCTGCAGTCCATGGGGTTGCTAAATGGACGGAAGAACCTGGTGGGCTGCAGTCCATGGGGTTGCTAAGAGTTGGACACAACTGAGCGACTTCACTTTCGCTTTTCACTTTCATGCACTGGAGAAGGAAATGGCAACCCACTCCAGTATTCTTGCCTGGAGAAGCCCAGGGACGGGGGAGCCTGGTGGGCTGCCGTCTTTGGGGTCGCACAGAGTTGGACACGACTGAAGCGACTTAGCAGCAGCAGCAGCAGCAGCAACACAATAGTCAAGACATAAAGTACATATTTGTTTATCATTGCAGTGACTCTAACTGGAGTATAGCCTGTATACTGTCACACTCTTCAGTCACTTCCTTCTTCCTCTCTACTAGGATATAAGGAGCCACCTTGAGAAATATGAAGTAACTTTCTTCCAATTAAATTTGTGTCAGACAAGCATCATTTTTGTGTAATCAAACAAGTAATTTGTGAGCAGCTTGATACCACCCTTAGAAGTTTGCAATTTAGTTGAGAAAGCATTTATGTAATTTTATTATGTGTTTATGTTTATTATATAAATTTACTATATATTTAGGGCTTCCTAGGTGGCTCTCCTGGAATGTGAAATCAAGTGGGCCTTAGAAAGCATCACTGCGAACAAAGCTAGTGGAGGTGATGGAATTCCAGTTGAGCTATTTCAAATCCTGAAAGATGATGCTGTGAAAGTACTGCACTCAATATGCCAGGAAATTTGGAAAATTCAGCAGTGACCACAGAACTGGAAAAGGTCAGTTTTCATTCCAATCCCAAAGAAAGGCAATCCCAAAGAATACTCAAACTACCGCACAATTGCACTCATCTCACATGCTAGTAAAGTAATGCTCAAAATTCTCCAAGCCAGGCTTCAGTGATACGTGAACCGTGAACTTCCAGATGTTCGAGCTGGTTTTAGAAAAGGCAGAGGAACCAGAGATCAAATTGCCAACATCCGCTGGATCATTGAAAAAGCAAGAGAGTTCCAGAAAAACATTTCTGCTTTATTGACTATGCCAAAACCTTTGACTGTGTGGATCACAATAAACTGTGGAAAATTCTGAAAGAGATGGGAATACCAGACCATCTGACCCACCTCTTGAGAAACCTATATGCAGGTCAGGAAGCAATAGTTAGAACTGGACATGGAACAACAGACTGGTTCCAAACAGGAAAAGGAGTATGTCAGGGCTGTATATTGTCACCCTGCTTGTGTATCTTATATGCCGAGTACATCATGAGAAATGCTGGGCTAGAAGAAGCACAAGCCTAAATCAAGATTGCTGAGAGAAATATCAATAACCTCAGATATGCAGATGACACCACCCTAATGGCAGAAGGTGAAGAGGAACCAAAGAGCCTCTTGATGAAAGTGAAAGAGAAGAGTGAAAAAGTTGGCTTAAAGCTCAACATTCAGAAAACTAAGATCATGGCATCTGGTCCCATCACTTCATGGAAAATAGATGGGGAAACAGTGGGAACAGTGTCAGACTTTATTTTTCTGGGCTCCAAAATCACTGCAGATGGTGATTGCAGCCATGAAATTAAAAGACTCTTACTCCTTGGAAGGAAAGTTACGACCAACTTAGCATATTAAAAAGCAGAGACATTACTTTGCCAACAAAGGTCCATCTAGTCAAGGCTAGGGTTTTTCCAGTGGTCATGAATGGATGTGAGAGTTGGTCTGTGAAAAAGGCTAAATGCCGAAAAATTGATGTTTTTGAACTGTGGTGTTGGAGAAGACTCTTGAGAGTCCCTTGGACTGCAAGGAGATGCAACCAGTCCATCCTAAAGGAGATCAGTCCTGGGTGTTCATTGGAAGGACTGATGCTGAAGCTGAAACTCCAATACTTTAGCCACCTCATGAGAAGAGTTGACTCATTGGAAAAGACCCTGATGCTGGGAGGGATTGGGGGCCGGAGGAGAAGGGGACGACAGAGGATGAGATGGCTGGATGGCATCTCCGACTCGATGTACATGAGTTTGAGTAAACTCCGGGAGTTGGTGATGGACAGGGAGGCCTGGCACGCTGTGATTTATGGGGTCACAAAGAGTCGGATACGACTGAGCGACTGAACTGAACTGAACTGAGGTGGCTCTAGTGGTAAAGAACCCGCCTCCCAGTGCAGGAGAAGTAATACACACAGGTTCGATCACTGGGTTGAAGAGATCCCCCGGAGGAGGGTATGACAACACACTCCAGTATCCCAAGGAGATAGGAGAATCCCCTGGACAGAGGAACCTGGCGGGCTGTGGCCCATCAAGTCACAAGAAGTCAGACACGACTGAAGTGACAGCATGTACATGCATGCACTGTATATAATCAAGATACAGAGCAATGCAGGATTGTTGCAGATAATACATAAATGAAATAGATGTTTCTGTGGTTAATCAGAGAAGCAGCTGCCTAAGCAGGGCAAATTGCCACATGTTTAGGAGCTGGCCACATCATGTTTTTTCTATGGACTAGCAGTCTGCAAGGCACACGCTTCTCTGACATTTTCCTGAATTGCCTAATACCCAATCTGGTTATAGCTTTTTGTCTCCAGCTGTCTATAGAGGTTCCTGGTCATTTATAGTGAGAGAAACTCATATCTTTTTTTCCCCCCTCTCTTCCTTTTCTATATATAGTAGATACAGATAAGTATCACATGATTATTTGAAGGATTGAAATTTCACTTTGATTTTGCTTTCCTGGGCAGAAACATTTACATCATTTTATACTTTTGAACATGAATTGCCTCTTTTTCTAGGTGTAATCCATTTCTGCTCTTCAGCATACGGAAGATTTTATGAATAATATTCAGTGCAGAAAGAGAGCTCTAAAAATAATTGTGCTGGTAGGATTTTGTTAGTCTTCTGTAGAGCAGTGGCAAGAGAAAAGAACAAAGGCACAGCAGAGGAAAGGTAGTGGTAGGCGGGGCATTTGATTTCATTTGCCTCCACCAAAGAGCTTGTATTTAGAGGAGAAGGAAAAACAAATAAGAAACAGAAAATCTGCACTAGCTATTGAATGTTTCATTTCTCATCACTGTTAGTTGCATTTAAATGGAATCATTGCAGTCTTTTTGGTGTGTATAACTAAGCCTTTTTTTCTGGAAAGAATATCTTGAATTTTATGTTTAAAAGCACTATGAGATGTTTTTGACATTCTGCAGTTTGTTTTGGAATTCACAGTCTTAAAACCTATTGACTTTCATAAGGTGGTAAAGGGTGTACAATACATGTCATTTTTATGCCTGATAGCACTTTGGATCGTACCCAATGCATATTATATATACACACCTTTTAACATCTGTTTCTACCTGACAGCTTACAGCATTTGGCTGAATTTTGTAATGAACAACTGAATGAGGGTGAAATGCCAAGCAGTGTTACAATGGATTCTTACTAGAAAAAATAAGCTCGAGAGAGCTTATTTTAATACTTTTCCATAAAGATTTTAAGCTGACATATATGCTGGTACATAATTAAGTAACATACTTTTTAAATGTTTAAGTTATTCTCCAGAAATGGAGATAGATTTGGCTAATCAAATGATATTTCTCCTTTTGAGCTGGGATTTAAGCATGCTGTTTGTATAGGGAAATCTATTTTGCAGATGGATTGATGATGATTCTTTAAAAATGTACTAACATTTTTAAAATGTTAGAATTAACTGATGGGATCTTAATATAGTATTTACTTGTTTATTTTACCAGTGTGTATATTGTTCAGCTCAACCCAGAGAATGAGATTAATGTTTGTTTCTTATTTTTCTCCTCTACTTGGGTTTTTGGTCTAGTGGTCATCAAATATTTCCCAGAAATACATTTGCATAGAATTCCCAAAGCAAAATTATAACTTTAAAAGACTTTTTAATATACAAAATCCAGATTCTGGGCTTTCATGCTTTGGCCATGTGCTAAGAGTTATATAAGCAAATACCAAACAGAGCGAAGTTGGTCAAGGCTGTGACTTATAAAGAATGCCAGACAGTGTTGCACACTCCAGATACTCTTTTCCTTTCTCTTAAGTCTAAATACTTCAGGAGAGAAGCTACCATGCCCATCTTTCATTTAAAAGTGGTTAGTTTTCATGTCTTTTCTCAGTTTGTCATTCTTTTACACCAGTTTTTGGCTCAGGTAAATAATACATTGTTTAATCCGTATTGACTAATTAATTGTTTGAAACTTTCCAGGTACTGATTAGGATGAATGTGATTTGGAGAAATTATATTTCCTGTCCAAGGATAAGAAAAGTACCTCACAGATACCAAAGTGGTTGTCACCCAGTGGCCCCTCTGGGATCAAGGATTTTAACTGATCCAACAAAAGTTTTTGAACATAACATGTGGTGAGTTATCTTTTTAGGTGTGATATAATGTATGTACATTAAGTGTCACCAGTGTTATTATTTTCATTTAGTGCCAGAAAAAGATTTTTAAAACTCAACCCTATGTTGTTGAAGTCTAAAAGCCAGGGTAATTGATCCTAACTTCTATGCGTGCCAAGTCACTTCAGTTGTATCAGACTCTGCAACTCTATGGACAGTAGCCTGCCAGGCTCCTCTGTCTGTGGGATTTTCCAGGCAAGAATACTGGAGTGGGTTGCCAGGTCCTCCTCCAGGGGTTCTTCCCGACACAGGGATTGAACCTGCATCTCCTGCATTGTCAGTTGGGTTCTTTTACCACTAGTGCAAGTAAGGATCTGGATCCTTACTTAAGTGTTGCCCGTTCTGAATTTCTTTGGGTTTTTGCAGGCCCTCCCTGCTCACTTCTGATCCTGATTTTGCAGCATATCACTGAAGGGGCTTCTTTTCTATGTAGAGCCCTCCACTTGTCTCTTTTACAGCTAAGCACCAGGGAGAACACACTGATTTGACCCTAATTTGTGCTTTTAGGAAATCCACTCCTCTATTTGTGATGATAAACTGGTATTTATAGAGAAAACTGATAATTGGGAATACAAAGCAGCAAATTATAAGGGCTCGGTGTATTCTTACAAGGCCTAGTTCCATATAAGAACAGCTCAACAGTGCAGAATCACTTCTATTTTGGCATAGTCAAGAAGTTGTGGGGGTTTTTTTTTTTCAGTTTTTTTTTAGTTTCAGCTTTATTGAGGTATAATTGACATATTAAGGAAGGTTTAATTGGAGAAACTGAGATATTTATTCTTTCTTCAGTACCCAGTACAGTGCCAGGCACATAAATATTTGTGGAATAATGACTTAACGTAAAGCAGGAGTAAGGGCATTCCAGGTGGGTGGAAAGCCATACCCACCAAGATGAGGAAGTATAAGGCCTATTTAGGAGAACAGGATAGTTTGCCTAAAATAAAGGCTTTTTTAGGAGATTGGAAAATGATAAAGTTGGAATGATAATAGACCAGATGTAGGGGTGGGAGCAAGATTGTGTGGTCTTAAATTCACACCTGAAGTGAAAGGTATGACAGAGTCCCTGAAGAGAAATGGCATTCATTATACATGGTATATTAAGTATTTGGTTAACAGTATATACTGTTACATATAACAGAGATCAGCAGGTATAACTAGAAGCAGGAAAGGGCCAATGAGAGGTTGTAAGGAAAGAAAAAGTAGAACTTGGTGCTTTTGTAATAAAGGAAAAGGAAACATTTGACTCTGAAGGTTTGATCCCAAATGACTAACAGAAATAGGAAAATCAAGAGGTAAATTGATTTTTAAAAAATATATATATATTAGAAGAAAACACGTGGTTTATTTTATTTTTTTTTAATTGAACTATAGTTGATGTACAATATTATATAAGTTACAGGTGTAAAATATAGCGATTCACAATTTTTAAATATCATCCTCCATTTATAGTTATAAAATATTGGCTATATTCTGTGTTGTACAATATATCCTTGTAGCTTACTTTATACATAATAGTTTGTACCTCTTAATTCTCCCCCTCCTTCTGGCTCCCCCCCTGGTAACCACTCCCCTACTAGAACACTAGTTTGTTCTCTATATCAAACAGGTGGTTTCTTATAAAGGTAAATATACACTTAGCGTATGCCACAGCAATTCCATCCCCTCCCAGGTATTTACCAAAATAAAGGAAAACATGTCCACGTATGAATACTCATAACAGATATAGGAATTTGGCAAAATAACAGTAAATTGATTTTTTATTTTGGAATAAAGATGTTGCATTTTGTTTTAGATATTTTGAATAGGTTTTGGGAGCCAGACATTCTAAGAAAAATGTCCAGAACACAGATTCCTCTGCTAGGAGGAGAGAGAGGGGTCAGGTCTGAAGATAAGAGGCTGGGTATAACATCTGCAGACAAAATTGTTACTCAGCCTTGGGTGCAGGACCTCTAGGGCTGGGAAAGTAATTAATGCACTTTCTATATTGAAACAGGATATCAATTTTAAAGTGAAATAGATTGACTTTTTACTAATTAGTCCTGCATTATACAATATGGTGGCTGCTAACCACATGTGGTAGTTGAGCATTTGAAACCTAGTTAGTCTGAATTGAGATGTGCTGTAACATTTTGAAGACTGAATACAAATAAATTATGAAATATTTCACTACTAATTTTTGTACTTAATTAAGTGTTAGAATGATATTATTTTGGATATATTGAGCTAAAGTATATTATTTAAATTAATTTTATTTCTTTTCACTTTTTTTTAATATGGCTACTAAAAAATTTTAAATTATATATTTGGCTGACATTATACTTTCTTGTTGCTGAGTTAAACCATTTTGACTATCATCACCAATTTGGACAGTTATAACAGGCTATGAAATAATTGCCAAGCAGTTAAACCTCCAGAGGAACTTCTGGTCCTAAGCAAGCTCTTTGTCTGCCAAATGTTTTTGGTTGTTGGTATTTGTGTTTGTCGGTAGACTCTAGTTATTTAGTTGTCTACATCTCATTTTCTATTTGCTACTATCAACTCTTTTGCCCAAGATTCCCGCCTGCCCTTTTAAGTTCTGTTTTGTCATAGGCTCTCAGGGAAGCAAAGGTCATCTGGTTCAGTGCCTCTCAAACACTATGGGCTAGCTTAGGGCTACTGCACAAGAATCCCTTGGGAGTTATTTCACTAGTTTTGCAGGTATGGCCCGAAAATTTGTAATTTGAAAAAGCTCTTTTAGTCATTCTTTTGAGCTACCAGGTTTAGGAATCCTTGATTCAGTCCTGCTGCTGCTGCTAAGTCGCTTCAGTCGTGTCCGACTCTGTGCAACCCCATAGACGGCAGCCCACCAGACTCCGCCGCCATCCCTGGGATTCTCCAGGCAAGAACATTGGAGTGGGCTGCCATTTCCTTCTCCAATGCATGAAAGAGAAGAGTGAAAGTGAAGTCGCTCAGTCGTGTCTGACTCTTAGCGACCCCATGGACTGCTGCCCACCAGGCTCCTCTGCCCATGGGATTTTCCAGGCAAAAGTACTAGAGTGGGTTGCCATTGCCTTCTCCGTGATCCAGTCCAGTGGTTTTCAAATATTTCTTCAGCAGCCGAATTTTTTTTTCCAAGTGAAATCTTAATGTAAAACCCCAGTATTTAAAAGGTAAAAATCAAACCTCTTCTGAGTGAAATGGGCATAGAGGCTTGGGACATCAACAGCTGCATCTCCCCTTTTCTCTCCCACCGCTCCCTCACTCTAGCAGCCTAGAGAAAGTTCGAAAAACCATAGCATACCATACCATAGCATACCCCTAAAAAAGGTTATCCTGCCTGTGCCATGATGCCTCTAGTGAACTCTCTCCAAAGGCAGATATGTACTGTAATAAACATAATAATAATAATTTCCTCCAAGGGAAGAGAGAAGTAGTAGCTTCACATCATCTCCCCACATCTCCCCGAGCCCCCCACCTTTTTTTGCTTCAAGAGAAGATACATAAATTAAACTGAAAACCAGAAGACTGATTTACTTTCTCCTAACTTCAAGTACAAAGTTCTGTCTAAAAGTTCTCACTTCCTTCCTTATTTCCTTCTTTATATTTAAGAATCATGTTTTCTCATGCTGAATTTTTATTTTTTAAAGATTTTTTTAAGAATTTATTTGTTTGGCTGTGCCAATTCTTAGTTGAAGCATGTGGGATATAGTTCCCCAACCAGGGATCGAACCCAGGCCCCTCTGCACTAGAAGCTTGGAGTTTTAGCCACTGGACCACCAGGGAAGTCCTTTTAAGATTTTTGTTAAAAAATACGTGTCAGTTTTCTCTCAGAGATGTGGCTCAGAATTGTGTACAGTTTATTTTTACCTCTGGCTTCTGATTTAGTTAATAAGAACTATTTACTCTCTATATGAACCTCTTTTAAAAATTTTTTTGAGGCAAAATGAAAATAACCCTTTTTTTTCAGTTTCTATATCCTGAGTAATATTTGCCCTCCAGATTCTAGAATTTGTATAACTAGTATTTACATCTGCCTATAGGTTCTTAATTATTAACAGTTTAGTTAAGTAAATTTCACATAACACAAAGTTAACCATTTTAAGGGGAACAGTTCAGTGGCATAAATTACATTCACGATTTTGTGCAACCAGCGTCTTTATCTAGTTCCAAAACATTTCCATCACTCTAAAGTAAAATCCCTTATTCATTAAGCAGCTTATACGTGCGCTACAGTTCCCAGCTCCCGGCAATCACCAATCTGTGTTTTGTCTCTAAGGAATTACCTCTTCCGGATATTTCTTATAAATGAGATCATACAAGTGGTCTTTTGGGTCCAGCTTCTTTCCCTTAGCGTAAAGTCTTGGAGGTTCATCCATGTTGTAGCATGTATTAGTACCTCATTCCTTTTTATGATAGAAAAATATTCCACATACAACACAGTTGGTTTATCCATTCATTCACTAATGGGCATTTAAATTGTTTCTACCTTTTGGCTTTTGTGAATAGAGCTGCTGTGAACATGTGGATACATGTGCTTGTTTGAGTCTTTGTTTTCAAGTCTTAGAGATAATACCTAATGGAATTGTGGGGTCATGTGGTAATTCTGTATTTAAATTTTGAGAAATGACCAAACTTTTCCACAGTGACCGAACCATTTTATATTCTGCTTATAGTCTTTTAATTGTATTTATTACATTTATCCATTTGGGAGCCACTGACATGAAACTATATTCAGATTGCTCGTGAGACTTGGCTCAGACATCTGTCTATATTGAGCAACTTATAGTTACTTGGAAAAAATCATTTCTTATTCTATGCTATTCCTGGTTTAAGGGTATAGGAGCTTTTCAGGGGGTCCCTAAAATTTATAAGGAAGCAGTAAACACTTGTATTGTCATATAAGTAAATCAGCTAGGCCAGCAGCTTTCAAGGTTTTGGGCATGATCCAGTGTAAGGAGAACAGTTTACATCATGGGCCAGTA